GCTCTTGTTGCCCAGGCTGGAGTGCAATGGCGCGATCTTGGCTCACCGTAACCTCCGCCTCTTGGGCTCAGGCAATTCTCCTGCCTCAGCCTCCTGAGTAGCTGGGATTGCAGGCATGCGCCACCATGCCCAGCTGATTTTTTGTATGTTTAGTAGAGACGGGGTTTCACCATGTTGACCAGGATGGTCTCGATTTCTTGACCTCGTAATCCACCCGCCTTGGCCCCCCAAAGTGCTGGGATTATAGGCGTGAGCCACCGCGCCTGGCATCTATCCCTTTTTTTAAAAGCTGTGTGGATAATTAGAATAATCACAGTGTTTCCTTATTATATAGTAATAAAAGCTGCCATCATACATTGTGTCATTGATACAGTGATTTTTATACTCCAAATGAAATCATTAGGTATTAGAAGTTTTCTTTTTCTTTTTTTCCTCCTGAGATGGAGTCTTGCTCTGTTGCCCTGGCTGAAGTGCAGTAGTGTGATCTTGGCACACTGCAGTCTCCATCTCCTGGGTTCAACCAATTCTTCTGCCTCAGCCTCCTAGCCTCCCACCACTACAGGTGCATACCACCGTACCCAGCTCATTTTTGTATTAGTAGAGATGGGGTTTCACCATGTAGGCCAGGCTGGTCTTGAGCTCTTAACCTCGCAATCTGCCCTCCTTGGCCTCCCAAAGTGCTGGGATTACAGTTGTGATACACCAGGTATTAGAATTTTTCTTTTTACTTTTTTTTTGGGGGGATGGAGTCTCACTTTTGTTGCCCAGGCTGCAGTGCAATGGTGCGATTTTGGCTCACCTTCACCTGTCTGATTCAAGTGATTCTCTTGCCTCAGCCTCCTAAGTAGCTAAGTAGCTGGGATTGTAGGCATGTGTCACCATGCCTGGCTAGTTTTGTATTTTTTTTTTTTTTTTCATATGGAGTCTTGCTTTGCTGTTCAGGCTGGAGTGTAGTGGCATGATCACACCTCACTGCAACCTTCCCCTCCCAGATTGAAGCAATTCTCCTGCCTCAGCCTCCTGAGTAGCTGGGATTGCAGGCACCCACCACCAGGCCTGGCTAATTTTTGTATATTTAGTAGAGATGGTGTTTTACCACATTGGCAAAGCTGGTCTCAAACTCCTGACCTCTGGTGATCCTCCTGCCTCAGCCTCCCAAAGTGCTGGAATTAACAGGCGTGGGCCACCGCACCTAATTTGTAATTTTAGTAGAGACAGAGTTTCTCCATGTTGGTCAGGCTGGCCTTGAGCTCCCAACCTCAGGTGATCCGTCCACCTCGGCCTCCTAAAGTGCTGGGATTATAGGCATGAGCCACTACTACACCAAGCCCAGGTTATAGAACTTTTCAAAATAAAAACACAAAGTATATATTTTGAGTTGTGAAGTTGTTGCATTTCTTTTTATTTGCAAGATACATTTGCAACTATTTAATTCTAAGTGTAATCATAGTAGTTATTCAGGTAAGAACCCAGTTAACTTCCATTACATGATTCTTTCTTTTTTTTTTTTTTTTTTTTTTTTTT